AGTGTAGCACTAAGTGCAAGAATTTTGGATGACAAAAAATTCAGACAGGTGTGCCTATATGCCGGCCTTTCATTAACTGCAATGAAATTAACCTTTTCACTACTTCGTGGATGAAAAGACAGTAATGAGGTACATAAATAATTAACCTTAATTTTTTTTAATTTTTAAAATTTAATTTATTTTTTCAAATATGGGATGCTTCACGAATTTGCATGTCATCCTTGCACAGGGGCCATGCCAATCTTCTCTGTATCATTCCAATTTTAGTATATGTACTGCCGAAGTGAGAACAATAATTAACTTTTTAAAAACACATATTTAGGGGCACCTGGGTGGCTCAGTTGATTTAGTGTCTGACTATTGATTTCAGTTCAAGTCATGATCTCAGGGTCATGAAATGGAGGCCCATGTTGGACTCCATGCTAGTCTTGGGCCTCCTTAGGATTCTCTCTCCCTTTCCCTCTGCCCCTCACCCTACCCCTCCCAAATAAAGTAAATATATTAAAATAAAAATAAAATATTTATTGTAACAAGTATCACAAAAGTATATGAAGTAAAAAGTGATGATCTCCCACCACACCATCCTTCTCTATAATTATAATTATTTTCTATAGAAACAAAAATCTTTATATCTATGCTTACCTGGTTATACACATACATACAGATCTGCAAGCTTCATGAGTCAGGGATCACCTATGTCTATCTTGATGTACATCATTGTAAGTCTAGTGCATACCACTGACCTTAGTACACAGAAGGTGCTAAATTGAATGAATAAATGTCACACTGTACGTTGTTCTGTAGGTGGCTTTTTTTTTTTTTTAATTTAAGAATGTAACCTGAATATGTTTCCATGTTAGGGCATTAATAGCTACTTCATTATTTTCAATGGCTCCAGAATAATCCACTATGTGAATGCACTATAATTTATTCAATCAGTACCCTATTACTGGATGTTTAGGTTTCATATATATATATATATATATATATATATATATTTTTTTTTTTTTTTAATTTTACTTATTTATTTGAGAGAGAGAGAGAATGAAAGAGAGAATGAGTAGGGAGAGCAGCAGGGAGAGGAGAAGCAGACTCACCATTGAACAGGGAGCCCGATGTGGGGCTCAGTCCCAGGAGGCTGAGATCATGACCTGAGCTGAAGGCAGACACTTAATGACTGAGTCACTCAGGCACCCCTAGGTTACATATATTTTCATGCCCACACACACACATATGCACACTTCTGTACAGCATTACAAACAATACTGGAGTAAACATGATAGCCAAATTATTTTGTATAAAAGTTCTATCAATTTGTCTTCTTTTTTTTTTTTTTTAAGATTTTATTTATTTATTTGACAGACAGAGATCACAGGTAGGCAGAGAGGCAGGCAGAGAGAGAGGAGGAAGCAGGCTCCCCGCTGAGCAGAGAGCCTGATGTGGGGCTCGATCCCAAAACCCTGGGATCACGACCCGAGCCGAAGGCAGAGGCTTTAACCCACTGAGCCACCCAGGCACCCCTCAATTTGTCTTCTTACTAACATTAATTGTGTGTTGAGTTCCCCACATTTATGTGAGGGATGATACCGAAATTGGATATTTGTTGTTGTTGATGTTTCTTTTGTTTGGAAAAAGGGTCCTTATAAGGGGAACTGTAGTCTGCTTTAAAGTGAAGTTGGGATTCAAATGGGGAAGATCCTAAATGGCAAATAGGACATTTGAATATATTTTTTAAAGATTTTATTTATTATTTGACAGATCACAAGTAGGCAGAGAGGCAGGCAGAGAGAGAGGGAGAAGCAGACTCCCTGCTTAGCAGAGAGCCCAATGTGGGGCTTGATCCCAGGACCCTGAGATCATGACCTGAGCTGAAGGCAGTGGCTTAACCCACTGAGCTACCCAGGCGCCCCAGGACATTTGAATATTTTTAAAGTAATGAAAAAGGATTTGAGAATTTTTTTATACATTATAAAATGTTTGAGCTGGAAGAGATCTTAAAAATTATGTTTCACTGAATTTATTTTATAGATGGGAAATAGAAATTCTAAGAAGTAAAATGATTTATTTAACCACACACTATCCATTTAAAGCAGATCTGATATTAGAACAAGGTTGTTTGGGTCTCAGCCTGTTATTCTCCAGTTTTATTCAGCAAATATTTAGTAACCATCTTGTACTAAGTACTAAAGAAGATTCAGCAAGTAAGAACACATACTTATTGAGCACTTTCTTGTGCCAGATCTTTGAGATACATTTTAATCTAGCCCAGTGTATATACCATACTAAATCAATCAACTATGTTTTTTTTTTCTTTTATTGTATGTTTGGTTTTTTGTTTTGCTTGTTTCTTTGTTTTTTAGTATTAGTAAGTATTCCTATGTTTCAGTGTGGTAGTAATTCTTAGAGCCAAGCCTCAAATAAGTTCTGTAGATCAGTAGGAAAATACTATTGTTTTACTCAAAAAGGTGTCAAATGGAGAGCAGGGCTGATTGCTTTTTTCTCAGGTCTGTTTAGAGTATCAGGCACTTCTCTGTGTAAGCCCTCAGTGTGCACAAACCTGAGAAATGCCAGAATTGAAAGAAAGCCAGCTGAAGTTGGAAAAGTGGCTGAAATGTGGCTGGGGAGACCGGTCAGATAGATCAAGGAGGACTTTGTTGATCTAGCTAAGGATTTTTGCTTTTGTTCTAAGGAAATGGGAAACTAATGAAGGGTTTTAAGTGGATGCTCCACAGGGTCTTATCTGCAATTAAAAGAGAAGGAAGGGGGAGACTCTTGGGTTTTAAATGCATTAGGAAAGCTGCAAGGTGAATGAATCAGGAGGCTATATATCATTAGTCTAGGTGGTAGTTTATGGCAACTTGTTCCCTAGCTACAATGTATAGAGAAGTGGAGTTACATTATGGACACAGAATTGACAAGATTTTGGTGCACTGATATGGCACGGAGAGGGAGAAGTTAGTGTCTTGTATTATTCTCTAGTTCACAGCGAATGCTCCTGGATGCAAGCGGGTGATGTTCATTGGGATGGGAACTCTGGAGATAGAAGATTGGGAGGAAGATCATGGGGTCAGTTTTTAAATGTTGTGAAGGGCCTGAAACTCCACATAAAGACTTAGGGGGTGATTAGACAAAGGAATTAGAGGTCAGAGAAGAGCTAGAGATTTTAATTTGGGAGTCTTGGGTACATGGTAGAAGACATTGCCTAGGTCGAGGCACCTTTTTTTTTTTTTTTTTTTTTTTTTTTTTTTTTTAAAGGAACTTGATCGCCAGGAAGGTCTAAAAAAAGCTTTGGATGGGGGTGCCTGGGTGGCACAGTGGATTAAAGCCTCTGCCTTCAGCTCAGGTCATGATTTCAGGGTCTTGGGATCAAGCCCCACAACCGGCTCTCTGCTCAGCGGGGAGCCTACTTCCCTGCCCCTTCTGCCTACTTGTGATCTCTGTCTGTCAAACGAATAAATAAAATCTAAAAAAAAAAAAAAAGAAAAAAGCGTTGGATGGTCCAGATCCATAATTTTTGTTTTTTAATTCATAGGATTACCCTATTTTTATTTTTGTAAACATTTGGGCTGTTTTTCATTTTTAACATTATCTACCTTTGGATTACGAACTAAAATCCTTGTTGCTGTATTAGCTGAATACCATAGCAGATACAAGTTTAATAAATAGTAAGGGATTGTTAGGTGGTGGAAATGTTAGATCTCTGCTGAACAGATTGGCTAGATAGTACTTTGGTCAAGTATTTCATATTTTGATCCGGCTACCTCTGGAAAATAATCTGACATTTTATGTGCTTAAGCACTTTCAAGAGCACTCATCTAACTTTTCCTCGAACCACTGGTTTGTTGTCACATCACAGAGCTTATTTCGGGAACCAGTGAGCTCTTAAAAATAAGCTTGTTTTTAACCAAAAGGACACTCTTACAGCTGAATTGGATAAAATCAGTATCTAAACGGCAATTGAAATTTTAATGTCTTTGTCTTGTCTTTCTTACACCTAGTAAATGGCTACAAATGAAATGTCACTTCACATAAGATTTAGTTGCCAAGATTTTTAAAAAAGAAACAGATATGTTCTTCACAGTTGCCCTAACCACGCAGCTTTTGTGCTGCTTCAAGTTGCTCAAACTGTGCTCTGAGGAAGCCCTTAAACTGCTTAAAAGGCCAGAGACTGAAACAGACTATTGCACAACTCTTCACCACCGGGCGGTTTCGCTTCCAAATCTGGCTTTCGTATCATCCCACGGCCGGAGTCGCTTCTGGCTCCACGGGAGCCAGCCCGGTTCCCCTCAAAAGCAGCCAGGGTTTCCTCGTCCGAGCCACCGGCGCCCCTCCCTCTGCCCAAGGATTTCTCGAAAGTGAAGCCGCGTGGGCGCCGGGCCCCCAGAGGTCCCATTGTCCGGCGGGGTAGACTTGCTTTTCCCAGAGTGACTCCCGCACCAAGTCCCACCGTCTAGGTTAACCAAAGGTCTACAGGTCTCCGCGCCACTCCCCTCCCCCCGCCGCCCCATTGTCTGCCTCGCCCCGCCCCGGGGGACACGTGCGCCTGCAGCTTCCCGAGCTAGAAGAGCACGGGGCGGCGGCGGCGTGGACACAGCCGGGAACGGCCCCGCGGCCGCGGCGCCGGGGGCGGGGGCCGGGCGCGCACGGACTGGTGGGTGCCCTTCGGGAGCTGCGGTAGCGTTCCGCGTCCCCCGCCCCGCCGGCCCGGGACGGGGCGGGGGATAGGGCGGACGGGAGCTCGGTGGGGGTGGCGTGCGCGTGGTGCTGCGGTGGGGGGGGGGGGCGGGGTGGGGAGATGCCTGTCTCCTGACAAAGGAGAACGAGTGGGACACGCTGAGCCGGCCCGCCCCGCACGGAGGAGAGCGGGAGGGGGAGTGCCGGGAGGGGAAGGGGCGGGCCTTTCATTCACTGTCGGCCCCTCCGTCGCCGCCGGAGCGGAAGGGCGGGGTCTCGCGCCCCCCTCCCCCGGGAGGTGAGGAGCAAGGGAGGTGGCTGGGCGTGGGGGCGGAGCCCGCGGGCGCGCGTCCCGAGGCGTAGACTACGTCGTCACGTCAGCGCGGGAGAGAGAAAGAGAGGAGCCGACTCGGCTGGGACTGGGGGACGGAGTCGAGAGAGCGAGCGAGGGAGGGTGTGAGCGAGCGTTAGAGCGAGGAGGGGAAAGGCGGCCACTCGTGTCTGAGCGGCCGCGGACGGACTGGGAGTGGTGGGGGAAAGGAGTAGGGAGGGGAGAAAGAAAGGCCGAGAAAGGAGCAGGACGGAGGCTGGTGGTGGTGGTAGGGGGAGAAGGAGGAGCTGGAGGAGGGCAGGGGCAGAGGGAGTGAGTGAGAGAAGCGGACGCGCGAGGGAGGGGAGGGAAGGGGGGGGTCACGCGGGCGCGCGCGCGCGCACCGGGAGCGCGCTCGGAGGCGAGTGGAACTGGATCGGGTTTGCTGCCAGCGGCGTGAGCTTCGGCCGCCATTTTACAACAGCTCCACTCGCGCCGGACACAGGGAGCAGCGAGCACGCGTTTCCCGCAACCCGATCTCCTCGGACAGGATCCTTCCGCCGCAGCCCAACGGGGAGGTAACGACCGCCTGGACCCGGGTCTGGGAGGGGAGCACCGTGACATTGTGGAGTGAGCTGGTGGAGGGAGGTGTGGGGAGAAACCGGCTTTTCTGGAAAATGGATTCCAAGGGGGAGAGGAGCACGTTGACTAGGGCTGCTTGAGAGTAGGCCGCGGCCCGCGCCGCCACTTCCTTCTCTTCTCCATGTGCTGCCGCCGTTCGGGCTTTGTCTGCGGCGCTCCAGGGAGGAGGCGGCCCCTTGGCCCGCGCGGACCGCGAGCGGCGGCGGAGTTGGTGCTGTCGTGGCCGTCGTCGCGGCGCGGGAGTGGGCGGAGAGGAGTGGGTCCCGTCCCGCAGCCGCGCGGCAATCTTGGGTGGTGCTCGCGGTCCGGCGGGCGTTAGGCAGTTCGCGGAACGCCCTCACTCTGCTGGGTTGCCGGCCTTGGGCCGGGGGTGGGACAGCTGGCCCCGGCGCCGCAGTCAGCGCACAGGCGGGCGAGGGGTGGGGGCTTGCACCACGCGCCGCGGCTCACGTCTCGGCTGGGCGGGCGGGCGACTGGGGGTCGCCGGCGCCCGGGGCGGAGAGAGCCATGTGTCACGGCGGAGACGGCGGCGCTGGGGGTGGGGGGGGGGGAGAGCCTGTGGCCTGGCGCCGCCGCGGCCTCGGTGTGAAGGGGCGAGGTTGTCCTGCTACTGCCTTCTGGGGGCTCCGATCTTGGCTTCAGGTTGACGTTGGGAGCCGGTGATGGTCGTCTTGGCCTGGCACTCGGTGGGTTTCCGTTGAAGGAAGTTGTAGGACATTTGAAGGCGCAGAGCACGTGTTTCTAATGGGCTCCTGGTGGCCGCAGCGGTGAGGCTGCCGCTATGGGTGCGGAGTCGGGGGCGGGCTTTGGGGTGCGGGGGTGAAGGGTGGAGAAATTGGGTGGTAGAAAGGTAGCTTGTGTGAGCGCTTTGTTCTTCGCTGGCTGTTGTTACTGATCTATAAGCGGCAGGCGGGAAAAGCGCGCACTTTGGGGGTTTACCTTGGAGAGAGAAAAGCCCAGCTTTGCTTTCTCCGCACACCTCATTTTCTGTTCAGGCACAGCTGCATGTGGCACGCTGGCTGGTCCTCGTGCTGATTGGGCTCCATTTGTAATATGGTTTTTCCTAGGGAGTGTTAGCAGGTGAGTCAGGGGTGGTGCTAAGGAAAAACATAGTGAATCTGTCCTCCTGTGCCCCACGCTCCAAATCTGGCTTGTCAGGCGATAGTGACTGTAAGGTTTCTTTAAAGGGAGGCGCAGGTTGGCTGGTGTAGAAATTGGTAGAGAAAGTAAAGATTGGGGCTCTTATATTTCTTCTACCCTTTTTGAAGATCCTAGTTTAATTTTGCTTATTGCGTTTGAACAGATCTCTGGAAACATGGCTACAGAACATGTTAATGGAAATGGTACTGAAGAGCCCATGGATACTACTTCTGCAGTTATCCATTCAGAAAATTTTCAGACATTGCTTGATGCTGGTTTACCACAGAAAGTTGCTGAAAAACTAGATGAAATTTACGTTGCAGGTAAGAACTAACACTTGCAAAATTATATTATGAAATTTTTTCTATTGGATTTCTGGCTTTGAGCTAAAATAGCAACTTTTTGTGGTTTCCAATAAGTGTGGGAACTGGAGTTTTGCTCTGTCGTGATAGTTGTGAACTAGAGGTTAAGGTGTATAGAGGGAGGGAAGAAGGAAAGGTTAGGAGGTAAAGACTGGCTGGCAAGATGGATAAGTATATGATGGTAGCAACAGCTGCAGAATGTTGGGAACAGGCCATGTGACTTTTTGGGGTATTTTTATAGTAGGATTCTTGTTAAAGAACTTGGTAACTGTAGACTTGTAGTCTGTCTTGGTGTGGCTGTTGCTTTTTCTAGTGGTATTTGAAATTGAGTAGAGGTTCAGTTGTCATGCTTGGTACTTTGTTGGTTGATTTTAGGATTTGTAAGCCTATATATTTATTGTAGAAATACTTAGCCTTAAGAACTAAGTGACTTAGACACAGAACATGATGTAAAAGAAGTTGATTCATTATTGCAAGTGTGGTTGAGAGGCCTTATTAAGTTGAGAGTGCAGTTCAGAATGACTAAAGTATGTGTGTTTCTCATTATATAGATAAGGGATATGGGAGAATTCTTAGTTGGCAAGCATGTACCTGTATTGGCAATCATGGTCTCTTTTAAAAAAAAAAGTTTCCAAAAATATTAAAGTTGACAACTAATTAAGTTTTCTTTTCTCCAGGGCTGGTTGCACATAGTGATTTAGATGAAAGAGCTATCGAAGCTTTAAAAGAATTCAATGAAGACGGTGCATTGGCAGTTCTTCAGCAATTTAAAGACAGTGATCTCTCTCATGTTCAGGTAATGCTAATTTCAGTATAAATAAAATAAACGAGTAATTTTGATATAGTTTGTTCCATTTGATTAGATATAGTTAAGACAATAGTTAAATCTGTTTGGAAAATTCTTTTGTAGAACAAAAGTGCCTTTTTATGTGGAGTCATGAAGACTTACAGGCAGAGAGAAAAACAAGGGACCAAAGTAGCGGATTCTAGCAAAGGACCAGATGAGGCAAAAATTAAGGTATGCCTTTAAAAGCTTTTTTTAAGAATTGCCTTCAGTTTTAAAGTTAACTCTCTTCTAGCTTTGCTGAATACTTCTTGGATGTGAAGTGGGTGTGTTTTCTTCAAGATGTTGACAGTTAATAATCATGAGATTATTTGTTAAATCTTTTATAATTACTATTTTTTTTAAAGTTTCCTGCCTTTAGTTATTTCTTTTTTACAACAACTCACTTTTAAGTTTCTCTTGTTAACTAAGCTGTGGTTTAAATCAGTGCTATTGGTATTCTAAAGAAAACACTTAAATATGTCTGCCATATTTCTAAATGTTTTCTGAAAAGCTGCAAGCCCAAATTAGTGACAGTGGAACAAAAATGGGAGGGCATCAGGTCACTCCATACTGGAGGGGAGTGTACATTTAATGGTTGGCTGTTTTTCTTAGAATTCTCAAACCCCAAGTTAAATGGTTTTAGAATTTTTAATACTTTCTTCTTTGTCTTCTGTTACTGTTGATTTTAAGGCGAATTTGTTCATTTCTAAAGGCAGCTTGTATCAATAAAATAGATTAGTGTGGAAATGTAAATGAAGGAACAGGCTGGGAGTGGAAGTTCTTTTTTTAATTAAGGTCACATAGAACAGTGAGTGGACTCAAATGCAGCTAGGTTTTGATCTTTGTTTTGGTTTTTTGTTCATAGGGATCGTAATAGTTTTAATCTGGTGCTCTTAATACAGTGTACTAGTGCTCTTGAACCAAGGGTTATGGTTTAAGTCAGTTATTAATGGTGTTAAGTGATGTTTTAATGGTATGGGAGGAGGGAAACTTGGAATAAGGTGTTAGCTGTTAATGTCATCCATAAATTTGAGGCTTTCACAGGTCTAGCTGTGAGTGAATTGTGTTTGAATTATAAATCTAACTTTTTCCATAGAAATGGAGTATAGTTGTCCCCATTGTAATATAATGTAATGTCAGTTCTAATTAAATTTCTTTTTAGGAGTTATAATTACTAAAATTTTATTTAAAATGTAAAGTTTAGGGGCGCCTGGGTGGCTCAGTGGGTTAAATCCTCTGCCTTCAGCTCAGGTCATGATATCAGGGTCCTGGGATCGAGCCCCACATCGGGCTCTCTGCTCAGCGGGGAGCCTGCTTCCTCCTCTCTCTCTGCCTGCCTCTCTGCCAACTTGTGATCTCTGTCTGTCAAATAAATAAATAAAATCTTTTAAAAAAAATGTAAAGTTTAGTTTATGTGACTTTCTGTTCTATTTTTGGGAGAGTGGCTTAAAGCTTTAGTGTGATTTAAACTACAGCAAGAAGAGACAGTGATATTTTTTTATAGGATTTTTTTATAGGATGTTTGAGATAAGTTTTCTTTTACTTAGGAATTGATATAAAAGGTATTATTTGGGTCATAATAAAGATTAAAGTTAAAAACAAGATGAAGGTGAAAGAAAAAGGGATTACATATGGGAAAAAGGGAAGATGAGCCATTTAATGGATTCATCTATGTTATAGTAATAGAGTAGATTGCGGTTTATTTTTGTTACCAAATGTTGCATCCTTCAGTAAACATTTGGGTGTAATAGAAAAAGACTGCTGAAAATACTGTAGCGGTTTGTGGGAGTTTAGAAATAGAATTTCTTTATTTTTTTCACAGATATTTAATATTCTTCAGGTAGATCTTTAAAATGTCTCGTCATTTTCATTTCTAGAGACTGAGGTGACCCCAAGTCATTTAACAGCATTTTGATAAAATTGGTCATTATGTTTGGTGTCAGCTTGTTTTTATTTCAGAATTTATCAGCTAATTATTAGATTTTATTCTTTAGAAAGGGGTTTTGTGCTTTGTGGTTGAGGTGGTGGAAGAGAATAATTCTTGTTTTTTTTCTTAGGCTAGCAGTGGACCACTTCTAACACTTTTTGCCTATAGTAAGGGGTAAGAGAAACTAACACTCTGATTAGTAAATAGGAGTTGTGTTAAATTTTAACAGTTTGCTTTTAGGGAGATAAAAATGTAGAAGTCATTTCACATTGTTGCAGTTACATAGTTTTCAAGTGATTTTGGCTCTCCTTTATTCTGAATGAACCATGTTGTCTGTGAAGTATGGCACTTGAATGTCAGGTGCATTAAGGAGGTGGTTTTTCATGTAACTCCTAAGTTTCTGGACTTAGTTTGGGGAGTATAATTTGTTCAAAGGTTGGTGAAATGCCCAGAATGGCAGTATGTACTAGAAGTGTGGGGTATAGGGAATTTATTGAGTTAGAAATCCAGACTTGGGAAGAGGAAACTTAACCAGTTCCGTCTCTGGGAGAGTTAAATTCAACCAAATTAGGGGCAGTAACTTTTTTAGGAGGTATTAGCAGAGTAGATACAGGCCCTGTCTAAAAAGTTGTTGATGGATCAGTATTTTGTCTTGTTCGATAAACACTAAATAATTGAAGATCAGAAAATAATTTGATTAGGATCCTAAAATTTTCACTAAAAATTAGAGCTACTGCAGGGTACATTAAAGGAGAAATTCTGAAACCAGATACCAGAAACCTGTTTATAGGGATTGTTGCCAAGGTAAATGGAAAGATTTGAACAAGATTGATTTTCAGCTGTGAAATGCATGGGTGTGGTTTTGTGAATTAAATGTACTAATGACTTTTGAACTTTTCAAGGCACTCTTGGAAAGAACAGGCTACACACTTGATGTGACCACTGGACAGAGGAAGTATGGGGGACCACCTCCAGATTCCGTTTATTCAGGTCAGCAGCCTTCTGTTGGCACTGAGGTAAAGAAACTAAAAACTTGTACCTTTTGTAGTAAATGCACAGGTATCTGGTTTCCTAAGAAACTCTCCATGGTTTTTACTTCATGTTTAATTTACAGATATTTGTGGGGAAGATCCCAAGAGATCTGTTTGAGGATGAACTTGTTCCATTATTTGAGAAAGCTGGACCGATATGGGATCTTCGTCTAATGATGGATCCACTCACTGGTCTCAATAGAGGTTATGCGTTTGTCACTTTTTGTACAAAAGAAGCAGCTCAGGAGGCTGTTAAACTGGTAAGTTTTTTTTTTTTCCCTAAAGTCTCCACATTCACTATCTTTAATTAAAGCTGTTTTTTCTTACTGTGCATGAGTTAACCAAATGGTTTTGGAAGTACTAATAAGGCACTTCTTTTACATTCTTTGTGTACTCACTGTAGCAGTATTCTTTGCATATATGGTTGATTGGACTGAGGATCTATAATGTGTCAGAATTCTTGAGTTATGGGTTCTTTGAAACATCTGGCTTAGTGATGGCTTTTTAATGGGAATGTTAAAACATTTCAGAAAGTAAGTATATAGGGTAGAGCTCCTTTATATTCCGACTGTACCTGGGCCATCCCTTTTTCTAAAATATATCACAAAGACCTTATGATGATTTCTAGTTTAATTTCTAGTTAATGAAATAAAAGGGTTTTGTAGTGAGTTAAATATTCGATTTCAGTATACCAGATGGAAGGTGTGGGGACCTAGTAATTTTCCCAGCTTTTAAAAAAGTTTGTTAATGATTCAAATTATAGTTTATATAATTCATCTTTAAACTAGTTTTATTAAGTTTTGTGACTCAGATGATTTCTACGTTTTATAATTGAAGATGTCAAAAGTCAACCCAAGAAATGTACCAAAAAATACAACTGGGGAGGAACTTTTGTAAATGGTTCACTAAGGCAGTTAGTACTTTTCTTTCTTTCTTTCGTTCTTTCTTTCTTTCTAAATTTGGCAGTTATTTCTTAAATTTGCCTTGTTTGGCTTACATATTTTATGGGTAATTCCAAGCAAACTTAATAGCCTTGGATTGATTTCTCCTGAATTTTATTTCTTCCTCACATTCAGATGTTTCACATTTTAAGGCATACCATAAGTAGAAGAACCAACTATGTTTTGCTTTTTATATTGCTTGAATCTCTCCATTGGTGTGTATAACTGAATATGTAAAGACTTTACATTAGAAAAGTGGCATTTGAGAGATTATAGTGTCTTTAAAAAAAGAAAGGGATTAAGTGATTTCTTTTTAAGTCTTGTGTGATTTTTTTCCCTCCTTTAAGGAATGCTTCCTATTTCAGAGCAGGTATAGTTACAGTTAACCATTCAGTGGTAATCTTTGGGTGTCAAAATTTTAAGTTTTAAGCAGTTCGGGTAAAATTAAGGACTTTTTTTTAGAGTTCTGAAAAGATATTTTTGAATCATCCAATTTAATTTATAAAAGAATATTAACATTTTTACCAGGTAGTAATAAAGTAGTGGTAAGTTTTAATACACAAATGTAGAACGATTGAGAAGACAAAGAAGTACCTTACTACAACAAGCAAGTACTGAATTTAACGTTTTCAGTTCCATTTTATTTATTTGGTATTACATAAAGTTTTTATTCTGTTTAATAAGTATGGTTATTTAGTGTATAAGTGGTGATTTTTGTGTTTATTAATATTTTTAAAGGAATCATTAAACATTTGTAGCACACTTAATTCTTGCTACCAAATAGAGTAATTATGGTAGGGCCTCACTAGAATTTATTTCTAGACAATTCCTAAAATCCTTAAAAAAATGACATCATTAGAGGAAGATGATATATAATCTAATTCTGACATGATTTTTAGTGCCATTAAAAACTCATTATGAAATATTTTCAGTTTGGGCGGTTGCCTTGGCTTAACAAATAAAGATTGTCCAAAATTGCATTGCTCTTATTAATATAGTTAAGTTTTTAAACTGTAACGCAGAAAGTTCCATAGGTAGCCAAACAGCCATTTTGATTCATCTAGGAACTAATTCTTGTCCTTCCTTACACTTTTTTCTGGGTTTGTGATTTGAGCCCTTATCTGGGAGCATGTTTATTTACTGCCTGAAGAATTAGGAGGATTTGCATTTTGGTGCCTTTTGAAAGATATTTTTAGTGGTAGTGTTGTACATCCACTGGGATGAATTGGATGTATCATCATTGCTTTTTTTAAAAGGATGCTTTACTGTGGTAGGATTTTGGTGATAACAGATTTGGGAGATTTGCCTTAATGTAACAGTGAGGACTAGACTTTTGAGGAAATGAAACATTCTAGAGAAACACGGAATTAAAGTTAATTAGGATGTTTTTTGCTATTTTGTATTTATTGTGGAAATGAGTACTCTTCTAAATGTGTTCCTTAAAGGAGCATATTTTGAAAATTAATCCTACATGTAGCATATCATGAGAGTTTACTTGAATTATACCTCTTTGTAAAGTGAATTTTTATGTGAACTATTGGAATGGTTATTCTAGTTGTAGATGATCATATGTTGAAAAAAATGCCTGTTTGGCATTATTTATAGATCAGACAGGATTGAAGCACAGTTTCTTTTTGCTTTCCTGTACTTTGAGTGTCTTGAGGAATACCTTAGGTCAAGATAGTTTATGTATTGGGGTGCCCGGCTGGCTAAGTCATTAGACCATGTGACTCTTGATTTCGGGGTCATGAGTTCAGGCCCCATGTTAGACATAGAGTTTACCTATTTTTCTTTAATTTTATTTATTTATATGACAGAGAGACAGCAAGAGAGGGAACAGAAGCAGGGGGAAGGAGAGGGAGAAGCAGGGAGCCTGATGTGGGGCTCGATCCCAGGACACTAGGATTGTGACCCAAGCCAAAGGCAGACACTTAAACTGAGCCACCCAGGCGCTCCCATAGAGCTTACTTAAAACGTAAAGATAGTTTTATGGTTTTGATCTTATTTTTTTGGTTTGATTCAATAATGGTTTTCCCCACCTAGGCTAAAAATTATGGATTTTGGGACGCCTGGCTGGCTTAGTTGGTAGAGCATGTAACTTGATCACAGGGTCATGAGTTCGAGCCTAATGTTAGGGGTAGAGTTTACTAAAATATATATATATGTTGTGGATTTTAAATTTTTATATGTGTTGTGTCTGAATTAACTTGTAAAGTGTATTGTTGCTAACAGCTGAAAAAGAGGCAAGAACTTCGAAGCAGCTGCAAACTTTTTAAATGACACGGTTTTCAGCCAATATTTGCTTTGTATTTTGGGGAATAAAAATGTTTTTCCCAAATGATGATGATCTAAAGGGGAAGCAAAATCTAAACTTGGGAAAGGTAAATAAATAGTTATCTATTGAGTGCTTGTTAAGACACAGGAGCTGTGCTAGCGTGCTACATTATTACCTTTAAATACTACTTCAATTTATTTTTGAAAGTAACTGGAATTTATTCTGCAGAAGAATAAATAGCTTGGGAGACTTACTGGATGCCCTACAGCTTTAGTGTGATACCAGGTTTGTTTAGTTTAAGTTATCTTTGGCTAGACAGAACAGTTTAAGTCAGCAGTACACATCATGTCATCAGGTAGCCTGATTCTTTTAAATTATGTAGTGGTTTAGATAGTGTTAAAAGGAGCACAGGAAATAAGCCCTGTTTCTACTGCCAAAATGTTTTTGGCATCTATCTTCATTGCTACCACCTTAGTCTTAAGGTACTATTTGAAGAACCCTCCTAGCTACTCATTGCTTTCCACACTGTCCCTTTAGTCTTACCATAGGTTAGATGACAACATTCCCATGTTGAAAACTTTAATGATGGCTTCCAAAAAGGCCCTATCTGATAGGTTTCTCCTTACCTTTTTCTTTTTTTGCCCTTCCAACCATACTTTGTCTTTTTGTCCCCCACATAAACTATGACCATTTCCATCTCAAGGCTACCCTCTGTTTTTTTTTTCCAAGGCTCCTCCAGTTACCATGGCTGCTGTCTTACCAAGGAGGTCTTAAAGGGCCTTTTCTGACTTGAGCAGCTTACCATCCAGTTGCCCCATGAAAAATAGAATGTTCAGATGTATTTAAAATTGTTTGTTGGTTTTGTAAATTATTTGGTTATTCCTCCAGGATACAAGCTTTTTTTTTCTCCTGTATATCCCTGATGTTCAGAACAGTGCCAGTATATATTTATCCAGTAGGTGCTGGGTAAATAACCTAGCTGACTGGCTCACTAGTGCCTTTTCATCTATTATTTATGACTCAAGAATTTATAACATTCCCATATTAGCTATGGATTGTTACACTATTTAAAGATTGTCTAGCTTTTATTTGCAGTTATTCATTCAGTGGTAGGGATTATTGTGGATAAATTGGGGGGCATTGCTTTCCCCCTCATCCCGGGGAGATATTTGGAAGTAAACATAGTATTTGGTGGTGTCACAAAGACCAGGAAGAATGGTAGGCAGGTGTGTATTTATCTTTGTGTGGTGTGCTCCTGGAATTGAAGCTCAGGGCCACTTGGACCCCAGTGCCCATCACTTTGCTAGATAATAGAAATATTCTGCTGAAAATGCTGATAGTGTCTATGTTATAAATGCTGGACTAATGGGTCTCTATCTGCATATTAAAAGTTACAATTTTAATAGGCAGTGATGGTTTTATTTACCAAAGTAGTTGATGTATGCTGGTGTAGCATCTGTAAAACCATTTTTGATGAATGCAGGTGACAAGACAGGTCCACAAGAGAATTCTGTTGCATTTTAACAAATAGTGTGCTTAATAGGAAAACTACTGCTGTGGATGTACAAGGTAGTTTGATCCAGTTCTTGACTTTATGGAACATGAGAGGCAGACTACAATGAAAGAGGAAGCAGATGCATTGTTCAGAGGGTAACAGTGATGAAGGGGTAGATTGTATTGAGGTTGTTACAGAAGAGTTTGTGATAAAGATGATCAAGCAGGATAGTTAGGGAAACAGGTGAATGTAGTTGAAGCAGTGTTTTGCTGAGTAATGGGAGATAAAGCTAGTATGAAGTTAGTGCCAGAAGGTAATTGTCATGACTATTGGGCTAAGTTGCATGATGCCATTAAAGTTTTGAGTCTTGGTGTGGGTAACATAATGTAAATAACAGAATAGTGAAGGAAGTTTGGATGAAGAGAACAAAGACCCAGGAGGTTCACAGCCATAGAAGGGAGGGGAGAGAGGGTAAAGATTTTGGAAGGAGAGATATTAGTGGTACACTATAGGTTCCATTCTGATTTTTATCAATGATTTAAATCCGGACATAGTTGGATTGCCCTCAGAATGTCTGGTGACTTGAGTTTGCATACAGTGGTAAATGCCTGATTATATCAAGACCTGAAAAGATTTTGATAGTCTGAAACAGATAGTTAACATGAGCAAGATGGAATTGACGAAGGTCAAGTCCTGTACACAATTAATTTCAGAAGTAAGATGTATTGTGATTTCGGCAGTGTGGTGTGGTTGCCAGGTAGCTCAGGTAATCATGGACTATGTGTTACAGAAGTGTTTATGGTGTTTAGAAGTGGGAGATTAGTAATAGTCTCCAGTTTATTCTAGATTCCTCAGTCTCAGTCTGTATCTACAGTATTGTGTTACGGATGTCACTATTTGGTGACACTCTTAGTAAGCACATTAGTTGGCCAGTATTAGAGAAGGAGTGATTGGCAAGGCATGGAGAACAATTGAGTCATGACCTTGTGTGCAGGTATATGAAGTGCTGTCATTTGGGGGAGAAAGGAGTTACTATAGAATTTTTAGAGTAGTAGATTTTGGCTCAGTGTAAAGATTTTTGGGGTACCTTGCTGGTTTAGTCAGAACATTCTGCTCTTGATCTTAGGGTTATGAGTTTGAGCCCCACATTGGATGTAGAAATTATTTAAATAAAAACCTAAAGGAGATTCTTTACTTAAGAAATATTTAAAAATAAAGTGGACAGTCTGGGGAGGTAGTGACTTTGCTGCTATGGGAAGAGTTAGAACTGAATAACCGTTTCTGCATTAGTTTTCAAATCTGAGATTGCTAGTTTTGGGAGATTTGGCAACTGACTGGCTATGAGGGAAGGAAAAGTGACGGGATTTTAAGCCTAGACGACAAGAATGTTCCATACTGTACAACTCCTGCTATGGTGTTCTGAAAGACTGAAACTGCATTGATTAATGTCCAGAGTTCATCTTTATTTTGTCACCTCACTGTGGAACTAAATCTGAATGCTAGATTACTGAAATACCTTAACATCAGTGTTGAACTTCTTGAGTTGGGAGGCATCACTTTTTTTTTTGGGGGGGGGGTTCATTTTAATGCTGTGTTAGTGTCCTGATATACTAATTCTTATGAGTTAGGATTGATCAGCATTACTTTAGAATCTCTGTTAAGATTCAGAACAGTTTTGTAATGCCCTTCTACCACTCAACGTGCTGTTAACCTGCTGGGGTGTGAAATTTATGGTGATGGGTCTTAAAATTCTTAGAAAGGTTAATTCAAGTCCACATATAAAAATGCATGTTTAATCTGTAGATTGGGCACTGCTTTAAGAAATGTTTATTTCTGGGTAGTGGGTACTTTTTTCCTTTTTTTAAAAAAGATTTTTAAATTTATTTTTGAGAGAGCACGAGCTGTGGGGCGGGTGGGGTGGGGTAGAGGGAGAAGCAGGCTCCCCTCTGAGCAGGGAGCCCAAAGCTGGACTCATTCCCAGCACTCCAGGATCACGAACTGAGGTGAAGGCAGATGCTTAACTGACTGAACGAACTACCCAGGTGCCCTTCTTTTTTCTTTTTTGAGTAATCTTTACACCACACATAGGGCTCAAGCCCTTGACCCTGAGATCAAGAGTCAAATGCTCTAACAACGGAGTCAGCCAGGCATCCCTCTGGGTACTTCTTTTACTTTATTTGGACAATATGCCCAGGGGGTCTTCTTTGCTCCTTTAGTGGTTTAATTGGAGAGCCAGTTTACTATGTGGGTTAGCTCTAATTGTTTTGTCTTTTTTTTTTTTTTTTTTAACTTAAAAAATGTGGATGAAGAATTATAGTTGACTTTCTAACTCTTGCTAAATTAAATCTTCATATCATTTGTATTGTTTAGAAACCACAGCCATCCTAAATAACCTTTACCTACCCTGCATTGATAAACTGTAGCAGGGCAAGTGAAGAAACTTCTCTTCTGTAAATAATGAGATGGTCATTACTGCTTTGAAGCAGCTTTGTTAAATGTTGTGGAACTGGTATAACCAAGAATTCTGACTTTCCTTACAAGTTTTTCTTTTTTTAAACTTTTAAAACATTTTCTTATGGTAAATAGGTCCTACTCTTAGGACTTCTGGAGGAAATTTATGCCAAGTTCTGTTACTTCAGAATAACTCTGATTTTTCCCTTTAAAGACTTCCTATTTTTTTCTATTTTTCTGATATCTTAGTTTTTGTCAAGTCCTTGAGTTGAATTTTCAGGTAACCCATAGATCTCTACTCTTTTTTTTTTTTTTTTTTTGGTTAAGATTTTATTTATTTAGTTGACAGAGATCACAAGTAGGCAGAGCAGCAGGCAGAGAGAGAAAGGGGGAAGCAGGCTCCCTGCTGACAGAGTGCCTGAGCCTGAGATCATGACCTGAGCTGAAAGCAGAGGCTTAACCCTCTGAACCACCCAGGTGTCTCTAGATTTCTACTTTCAAGAGGTTTTTGGTCTTAATAGAATATAAATGCTATGAGAAAACCAGATGTGTGGCAGGATTTTTCAGCCTCAGTACTGTTGATATTTTAGATCAGGTAATTCTTTGTTCTGCCGAGTTATCTTGTGAATTATCGGATATTTAGTACCCTCTCTGGCCACTGCGTACCCACTAATACTAGCAGCAAGCCCCCTTCCCTAGTTGACAACCAAAAGATGTCTTTAGACATTGTCAGATGTCCTCTTGGCACAGAATCATTGTTTAGAATTACTGGTCTGTGTTAGAAGGGTGTTTTGTTGACCTTTTTTATAGGATTTAGGTGTTGCAGTGTGTGGTTGGGCTCAAATCTACAGGTATGCAGAGGAGTTTCGATGATGGAAGTTTCAGGGAAACCTTTTATTCAGAGGCTCAGCAGTATAACGCTGTTTGAGAACTCTTGTAAATAGCTAAGATTATTGTGAAGAGAAAGTAGTAGCAGCAGTAGGAATTTTAGGATAAATTTACATGATGTTCAGGTATTTGAACTTTATTTTGGTGATGGGGAGCCACTGAGAGATTGTTTCAATAGGCAGAACCTGTGATTTCTTTTTTTTTTAAAAAAAGGTCTCTGGCATAAGTGTAGAAAATATAAATAATCCTGGGATCATGATGACCAGGAACTTTGATAGCATGAATTGAATCAGTGTGGTAGAAAGTATAAAACTGTTCTGAACTGGAGGAAGGACATTTGAATTTCATGTTAGATTTGAGGATCTGAAGATGGAGAAAGGGACAGGGAGGAATTGATTTTTTGACTTAGTATGTGCTTTCTTGTCTTCTATCTGATGTACCTTTTATGCAAGAATGGGAGAAGGAGGAATTCCTGGCTATCTCACTCAGTGGAGCTACTCTTGATTTCAGCGTTGTGAGTTTAAGCCTCACATTCAGTGTAAAGCTTACTTTAAAAAAACAAAAAAACAGGAGAGGAATGGTTTCGCTTTGCTGTAAGGCTGGTCTACAAATTGTATGGAAATTTATGTTGATTTTTTTTTTTAGCTTGTGTAGCCCCACTTGTAGGTACACACAACATTGAATTTTGAGGCCAGGTGTGGGGGATTAATTTGTAATTATTGATGCTGCTGCCACCTTTACTACTACTAAATGAAATTTTGCGGTGATTTTAATTGTATGATATAAATAATTTACTTTCCCTGATTAACTTGAATAGTTTTGAACTTTAGTTTGTAAATAATACTGATCAGTGGATTTGTCACTTTGACAGATTGGGTTTTACCTCTTTAATATCTCACCTGTCTGTGGGATATAGTTGCTTGAAGACTTTACTTTTTTACTGTAGTTTTATATTGGCTTCTGTACTTCCACTATAATCAATCCACTTGTCTTTTCCAACTTCATTGTAGACTTGATGAAAATGAAATGGGGGGAAAAAAGTAGGGTTGGATTCAGGAAAAGGAGGTTCTCTCCTTTTAGAATTACGTATTTAAAGGTACCCCTTATTGCAACTTTTTACAAGAGTGAAAAGATGATGAGGAAAAATAGATTTAGTTGCTGGTTAACAGAAAGGGGGAAACTTTGTTGGTATTTGAGTCTCTTTACCTTGCATGAGGATAATTGGTTGCCAAGGTGAATTTAAATAGAAACTAAGGTACTGTGGAATCAGCAATTTTGAATTTAAGCTGCCTGTAGACCTGATTCCTAATTTATCAAGTTTCTTAGGTTTCAAGGACTAGACGAATGTTTGCATTAAATCATACATTTTTTAAATGTGTTCTGTCAATATAATGTTATCTCTTTCATAATTTCCTCTTAGAGTGCTATATGCTAACTATATTTTTAAAAGGTAGAGAAATAAGTAGCATTGAAACACGTTTGCCTAAAAATTTGCATATATTTTTATAATAAACATAAGATACTATAAGAATTTTTAAAACGTGGTACACTTTTTCCCCTTTCAGTATAATAATCATGAAATTCGTTCTGGAAAACACATTGGTGTCTGCATCTCGGTTGCCAACAATAGGCTTTTTGTGGGCTCTATTCCTAAGAGTAAAACCAAGGAACAGATTCTTGAAGAATTTAGCAAAGTAACAGGTAAGTTGGATTTATGTGGAAGGGGATGCAGCTTCTAATATTGAAGGTAATTGCATACTTCTGTGTGACAAGCATTGTTTTAAACACTCTATTTTTTAATTTGTATTCTCCAACCATGTGAGATAGGTAACTCCAATTTTTCAGATAAGGAAACTAGGTACAGAGAGCTTTGGGAAATGCCAAACATTATATACTTTGTAAGGAATGCATCTGGGATTTGAATAGTCTGCACTATTCAATCTGTGCATACCCTATTTTGGAAGCTGTGTGTTTTTATGCATTTTTAGGTGATAGCTTGACATTCTTAGTAGGAGTGTTTGAGTAATGATTTGACTTTCTGAGTAATTGGAATAATAAATTTTGCTGTAAGCAGAGATTATACATTGTCAATATGGTGCAATTTCTTTGAACTATAAAGCATTTTTTATAATAGTTTCCATGTTGGGCTGCTTTTATTAAAATATATTTTGTCTGCCTGGAATATTTAGTAAATTCTCAGGCTGTTAATCTCCAGGAACATTCGAAGTCTTACTTAATACTAATATATTTCACTTGAAATGAAGCTGTTGATATCTGAGGCCAGAAAAGTGTCATCAAAAAGAATTTTAGAGGCACCTGGGTGGCTCAGTTGGTTAAGTAGTCTGCCTTTGGCTTAGGTCATAACCACTAGGGGGTCTGCTTCTCTCTCTTCCTCTGACTTTCCCCCTGCTCTTGTGCTCTCTCAAATAAATGAAGTCTTTAAAAAAATAATTTTAGTGTTTACTTGTATAATAAAAAATGTTGGACCATGTCTGACCTATACTGCCATTTTCCTAACAGTTATGTAAAAATTTTATGCCTGTCATTTAATTAATGAAAGAGTAGTCCTTGGGTCTAAGGACTTTACAAGTGTGTTGAGAACACTTGTAAAGTGTGGATTATTAGGTAAATTATCTGGACCAGTTCTTTTGAGAGTCTTTTTTAAAGATAAGAGATTAACTTTTCAGTTTTATATCCCATTATTATATTAGAAAAATCCTTTAATCGACTTTGTTCTTGCTTATTTTATCTAATTTCTCTGAAACGGTTGCTTATTTTCAGAGGGTCTCACAGATGTCATTTTATACCACCAACCAGACGACAAGAAAAAAAACAGAGGCTTTTGCTTCCTTGAATATGAAGATCACAAAACAGCTGCCCAGGCAAGGCGTAGGTTAATGAGTGGTAAAGTCAAGGTCTGGGGAAATGTTGGAACTGTTGAATGGGCTGATCCTATAGAAGATCCTGATCCTGAGGTTATGGCAAAGGTAATGGCAGTCACGTTAATAATTTTTTTGAGGGGTTGGTGGAAGAAGGGGAAAGCTTTACAGAGGGATGTAAAGAACTTCTAAAATGAATTGTGTGCTTTTTGAAAAACAAATTTTTGAAAGAGAAGTATTCTTTAATAAAACTGCATATCAGAAATAATATGTGTATAGTCAGTGAATATAGAAATTTATTTTTGGACCCTGTCATAGTTGTATAACTGTCATACTCTCAAGGTGATGAGTAGTTAGCCTATATGCTGTGGAGATGGTTCACTATCCTTTTTGTGTGAAGTCTGAGAGCAGTTTCTTTGCATATTTGAGAATGGCGCCATTAGCTTACATGGTTTTTGTGTTAAAAGTTCTACTCCTAAAAATAGTGAACTATACTGGCCTCAGCAGAGCTGCTGCAGTTACAAGGTTTAGCTATTATTAGGTATCCTGCTTCAGCAGTCAGTTGAGACATCCTATGAGAACAAACATCTCTTGAATCAACATTTTGTAGTTAAGTTGTTCTATCCTTTGTCATTTAAGAATTCCCCCTAATGGTGATAGGCTAGCAGCTACAACTTGTTCACTTAAATCAAGAGTGTGAAATGCCAGAACTGTGAATATTGTTAATGGATAAGTAGTCTTGAGGACAGAAGATACTTTGTATTTTTTCTCTGGCCTGTTAACTCTTTAGGATTATCACATTAAGAAATTTGGATGTTACTTCAAGTATTTAGGAGGAAATGATAATGTTTCTTAGCAAAAGGTCAGCTTTTCTAATTGTACTTTGAGGAACCTTCTGGACTGAAAATTTGTCAGTATTTTGAACATTCCTGCTTTAACTTTATCAACATTTCAAAAGCAGGTTCCAATTAGTTTTGACCACCTATGCTGAGAGTTAAATATTCAACAGCTATCTCAGAGGCGTGGTATTCATATTGTTAGAAAATGACAACCTCAGTTTGAATTGCAGACGAATTACTAATTTAATAAAAACTACAAAGCACGTTTGTTTTGAGCAAGGTACAGAGTTCTCATGTACTCCTTGGCCACACATATGCACAGCCTACCCCACTGTCTGCATCTGCACCAGAGCGGTAGATTTGTTACAATCAGTGAACCTACATTGACACGTTGTTGTAACTTAATACATTAGGGATATACTCTTACTGTACATTCTGTGGGTTTGGTTCAAAAGTAATAGTTTTACTGCCCTAAGAATCCTTCCTGATCTGCATAATCACCTCCCATCCACTCTAAACCTAGGAAACTGTTGATTTTTTTTTTTTTTTTTGGGGGGGTCTCCATATCTTTGCCTTTTCCCAGATGTCATATATTGCTCTTAAAAATTCTTTTACTTGGTTACATGCATTTAAAGTTCCTCCATATCTTTCCATGGCTTGATAGTTCATTTCTTTTTAGCACCTTTTAGTAATAATCCATTGTCTTAATGTATTGCAATTTATTTATCCATTCACCTACTGAAGGATATTTTGTTTGCTTCCAAGTTTTGGCAATTATGAATAAATCTGTTATAAACAACCATATGCAGATTTTTATGTGGACATGTTTTCAACTCATTTGGGTAAATAACAAAAGTACAGTTGTTGGATTGTATGGTAAAAATGTTGCGCTTTGTAAGAAACTGCCAAACTGTTCTCCACAGAGTGGCTATACTATTTAGCATTTCCACTAGCACTGTTTCTGCTCCATATACTTACCTGCATTGGGTGGTGTTAGTGTCGTTTCCTGGCCATTCTAATGTGGCATTTCATTGTTGTTATTTATTTTTTGTTCATTTAAAAAAAATTTTTAACCTTTACACCCAACATGGGGTTTGCATTTACAACCCCAAGATCAAGCTACGTGTCCTGCTGACTGAGCCAGCCAGGCACCCCTCATTGTTGTTTCTATTTGTAATTCTTTAACAAAGTGATGTTGAGCATCTCTTCATGTGTTTGTCATCTACTTTGGTGAGGTGTCTGTTCAGGTTTTTACCTGTTAGATCCAGCAGTCACACTACCTAGGTATTTTCAAATGAGTTGAAAACTTGGTCTTTTATATTTCTGATATTCCTTTAATGGTTAGTGACTAAAGTTAATCTTGTAGGGTGGGTTAATGGCATCCTGGAAATTGAACCCTTCGGAAATAAATATACAGGGAGTTTCTGTTTTTTGTTTTTGTTTTTTTTTTTTAAATTTTCAGGTAAAAGTGCTGTTTGTACGTAACCTTGCCAATACTGTAACAGAAGAGATTTTAGAAAAAGCATTTAGTCAGTTTGGGAAACTGGAACGAGTGAAGAAACTAAAAGATTATGCTTTCATTCATTTTGATGAGCGAGATGGTGCTGTCAAGGTAAATAAATGGGGGAACTATTGTAGGCATCTAAATTAAACCAAGGATTTTTTAGTCATCCTGTAATTGGAATATTCTAAAAAGTTAAAGGACACTCAGAGGTCGTGTAATCTACTCCAGTTAACCTTTATTGGCTGTAGCAAATTGCATAACTCACTAAACTGAGTCAAAAAGGTGATTAGTGAAGAGCTGGATCTTTAGATAAAACCTAACAACTGTATTTTAAAATTTCATGCTTCCAACATCAGTGAAATGAATTTCATACTTTGAATGAGGCATAATTGTTGTTAAAGGCGTCTTTATATTGATCAGTACCTTATTTTTTAAGGCTATGGAAGAAATGAATGGCAAAGATTTGGAGGGAGAAAATATTGAAATTGTTTTTGCTAAGCCACCAGATCAGAAAAGGAAAGAAAGGAAAGCTCAGAGGCAAGCAGCAAAAAATCAAATGTAAGTAAAAATTGTATAAATTTAAATATTGGTAGATGAACTGGTGAAAAACAGGTGTTTTGCAAACCTTTTAAATGCATAACATGCCTTTACCTTTTAAAGAAGACTTGAAAGGTTTGAGCTGCTGAGAAATGCCAAGAATCTCAAGAAATGTTTATTGAGCTGTTGCTGTTGACCATACTTGTGAAAATAACTATAATTCTGAATAACTAGAGTTTTGTATAATAATGAAAATCAGGAAATTTCCTATGATATTTTATAGAATGTGCTTCTGAATTACATGTTTTAAAATTAGCTCTTCAAAATTGATCTGTTTGGTTAAAGGGTGGAGAGTTTTTTTCTCAGAGATAGAAGATGCTAAATCTCTGATTTTGATAAACTCTGCTTCCTCTACATCCAAAAGAGGTTTCTCTACCAATATATAGTGCCTGTTGCCACCTCAAACATTTTATATATGAGTTTTGAGAAATAAGAGAATGTAGTGAATAAAATAAGTAACATGGTATTGAAGAAAACTAAGTTTAATGCATTGCATATATTGGATTTTTTTAGAACATCTATAAAAGGATATCTTCTTATTTAAGACAGTAAATGAAATTTTTAGCTGCGTAAGAATGAGGTTTGCAATTTTAAAAACATGAAGTTGGTAATTTCTAAGGAGGAAGAGGGATAATTGCTATTTGATACAATAACAAGAGTCACTGAACTTAACTATTTCAGGGGTAGTTTCCGTCCATTGTCCTATATGGTTTGCAAAAGAAGGGTTAGGGGTGCTTCTACTTATTTATCTTATTTCATAATCAGGGAAGTAATCAAATTTCTGCAGTAGGCTGTGTAGTTAGACAAGTAGTCTAGTTCTGAGCCTCAGTTTCTTCAGTTTTAAAAAGGGGATCAGACTTGGGGCTCCTGGGCTCAGTCATTTGAGCGTCTGACTTTTGATTTCAGTTCAGGTTATGATCTCATTGTTGTGAGATCTAGCCATATGTTGGGCTCCATACTGGGCATGGAGCCTGCTTAGGATTCTCTTTCTCTCTCTCTCTCCCACCCCTCTTCTTACATGCACTCTCTCTCAAAAAATAAAGCAGAAAGGGTCAGATTAAATTATGTAAGATGTTTTGTACTGTGATTATCCATGTAATCTATACTTAGGGGACTAAGAGACATGCTTTATAGGCTTATTAAGTGGTAATATAAGGAGAAAGACTAAGGAAAAGCTAGGTTTTGAAGGGGAAGCTAATGCTCTATATTTCAGACCCCTTGAGTATATATTCTGTGCAGTGAAAGTGACTTTTTCATCTCTCACAGAAGATAGTTAACTGATTATAATCATGTTTATTCATGCAGTAGCAGAAAGTGTCAGAAATTATATTAGAAAAGTAAATAAAGGGGCGCCTGGGTGGCTCAGTGGGTTAAAACCTCTGCCTTCGGCTCAGGTCATGATCCCAGGGTCCTGGGATCGAGCCCCACATTGGGCTGTCTGCTCAATGGGGAACCTGCTTTCCCCTCTCTCTCTGCTTGCCTCTCTGCCTACTTCTGATCTCTGTCTCCCCCCCCCCCAAAAAAAAAATCTTAAAAAAGAAAAGTAAATAAAATAGTTACAGTTATAACTTAATAGGTGGAGGGTGATAGTAAGCAGAAAGTGTCACTGTATTTGTTAATAGTTGAGAACAGGCCAAAAGGGATGACTGCATGTGATGCTTGCATTTTAACTTTTCTGCAGTCATTCACTGATCTTTTTTTTTTTTTTAATTTAACAAACTACAGCACGCATTCCTACTTACTCCTCAGTGCGTCCCTTTGAGTTGAGTACTCTATTCCCCAGTTTGAGATGAGGAAACTGAGGCACAGAGGTCTACTTGCCCAAGGTCAGTCTCACAGCTAGTAAGTCGTGAAGTTGGATTTGAACCAAGGTAGTCTGGCCCCCTCTTACCCATTATACCAACGTTTCTCAATCGCTCTATAATTAATTGACATTTTGTGCTGGTTGATTCTTGGTTATGGGGGTGTCCTGTGCATTATAGGATGTTTAGGATGCATCCCTGACCTCTACCCACGAGATTTCAGTAGAAATAGCCTCCTCTCCCCAGTTAGGATAGCTGAAAATATCTCCAGACATTATAAATGCCCCCGAGGGGCAAAAAAAACCCCAGTTGAGAATCACTGTATGACTGCATGCTATTGTTATTGTATAATTTAGTGGCGGAAAAAACGATTAATCTATTGAGATAATTAGCACAGCATAACAAAATGGTCTGCGAACCTAGTGAATAAGAGTAGCATTTTCTATATGTCATTGAAACAGGGAAAAGCTGGGTCTCTGAATTGAGTATAAAATAACAAATGCTAAAAAAACACAAGAGTAAATTATTCTCATAAGGATACGTCTTGATTTTTTGTATTTCATGGTATTTATCTTAGGGTTCAAATAAAATGATAAATGCTTTCCCAGGGCATAAGGAACTATATCAAACTGTACTGTACTATTAGAGAACATGAATTGGAATATTAAGGATATTTTCTTTTAGAGTGTTAGCAGAGCATATGCTAATTTTGTTTTGTTTGGTTTGGTTTTTGTTTTTTTTTTTTTAAAGTATTCTCTGTACCCAACATGGGGCTCGAACACACAACCCCAAGATCAAAAGTTGTGCTCCAAGCCATCCAGGCTCACCCATGTGTTGACTTTTTATGTTTTCTCTCAAATTAAAATTTTTGAAACTAAGATTTTATAGGCTTGGGGTTTTCTTAGCGTTTGTTTCCC